CAATACAGGTGGACTGTGTAATGGGTGAATGGGGCCCATGGTCTCCCTGTACTCATTCTTGTGGACCAGAAGCCTTACAACAGCGGTCCAGGAACGTCATTGTGGAGCCTCGTCATGGGGGGGGGGGCGGTATGTGGGGACCGGTATGAGAGGCGGTACTGGTGAGTCTTATTTGAATGAGTGTTACTTGAGTGAGTCTTACTTGAATAGGTATTATTTGAGTCTTACCTGAGTGGGTATTATTTGAGTGTGACTTGAGTGGGCATTAGTTAAGTCTTATTTATGTAAGCGTTATTTATCTTACGTGAGTTTTAATTAAGTCTTAACTGAGTCTGAAAGGTATCTCACCTGCCCTACACCTGCTCCATATGTAATTCCTGATTTATTTATATATTTAGTTTTCTTTGTTTATTAAGTATTTAGTTATTTTATGTTTCTATAAGCATTGCATGTGTGTGTGTATGTGTGTGTGTGTGAACCAATTCATCTTTTCGTGTTTATGCTTTTGTCTGTCTGTCTGTCTGTGCACCTGTCTGTCTGTCTGTCTGTCAGCGCATGTCTCCGTATTTTACAGAACCGAGAGCTGGGATTATCGCTTCACCAATAACTGGATGAGATACCGTTGAAACTAAGAGAAATGAAGGAACAAGTAAGTTGAAAGAAACGAGAAGGGAACAACACACAATTAAGATAAATGAATGAAATATGAATGAAAAGAATTAATGAACTAAGAAAGAAGATGTAAACACAGACTAAATTCCTCTAATATATCATGTATACACCTGTAATATATCATGTATACAGCTCTAATATATCCCTGTGTGTATTACTTACATTCAGCACTAAACAGTAACTAAGTGGAAATAATTAAAGCTGTTTATTGTGACCCTAATTAATTACATACCTACTAATACACCTGACTAAACCAATTCGCTAATATAACCTCACTAAACCACTTCGATAAACACGATATACCTGAACGATATAACACAACAGTTCTCTAGGTACAATTAAAACTATCCATCTCATCTGTAAACTTAAACCTGGGTAGCTTTTATTTCATCTTTTTTATAATTCCCAAAGGAAGATAATTTCTGACGTCCTTTCCCCCTCAGTGCCAAGATCAGACTGATGAGTTTTTGTTATTGTTGACGTCCATCAGCTGGGCGAGCTGGAGTTGCCAGTTACAATCATATACTCTATTACCTTCTTATGAGAGGTTAATGACACAGCTAACTTAACCTAAACTAACCTAATCTCAACAGACTATGGAGAGTAAGGCATTTTGTTTTTCCCGTCTGTCTGTTAGCATGCCTGTTTGTGTATGTATAAATTCCCTCTTAATTAATCATGTCATTTTCTCCCTTATTTAGACTCGGGAGTATACGTTCTCTCGGGTCTTTAAATCATGTTACTTTTTTTTCCCAGAATGACATGACTGGTTTTAAATAACCTACTAAAAAATCATGTTTACTATATAAGTGACATGATGGCGTGTAAATATTCAAATGCATAATCATTCCTGGTTGGCATGATATATAAACAAGCATAAAAATATCATGTCTTTTCCTAAGATGAGATCATTTGTAAACCTCGTGTCCTTCTCTCTCCTGGCAGAGGGTGAGAGACGAGGGTGTTGGTGTGTGTTGCTTGTGTTGCCTACGCTGAGGAGGAGCAGACTACAGCAGACTACAGCAGGGAACAGTAGACTACAGCAGGAAGCAGCAGGAAATAGCAGATTACAGCAGGGATTACCAGATTAAAGTAGGGTACAGAAGACTACAGCAGGAAACAGCAGACTACAGCAGACTACAGCAGGAAGCAGCAACTACTACTAGAGGAAACAGTAGACTACAGAAGGAAGCAGCAACAACTACTAGAGGAAACAGTAGACAACAGCAGGAACAGAAAACTACTTCAGGAAACAACAGAGTACAGCAACATAACAGTAAATAATATTAGACAGCGGTAGAGAACAGCACAGTACTTGATAACAGCCTCGAACAATACCAAACAGATGCACAAAAAAACAATACTCAACATCAGACAACAAAAACAGACACAACAGATAAAAACACAGACAATAACAGACACCGGAAACATACTACAACAGAAAATTGCAACAGACACGAGCAGACAAGCGCGTAGAGAAACAGGTCAACCCAGTTTCCTCTGTGGTAAAGCTAGGTCAGGTCAGGTCATAATATACCAAATCAAAACCAAGGTCATGTATTCGTGGTCTGTTGGTTATATGGACTCGGGATAAGGTCAAAAGAGGTCATTAGAGGTCCGGTTAGCTTTGGTTATCTAGAAAGGGAATGAGGTTAAATGACATCGTTCCGTGCCAGGTCAGTTTAGGTCACTTAATGACCTTGGTCAAGGTGAAGAAGAGATGACTTACTTGAACCTAAAGGATTGTCATTTTGTTCTAAGTCTGTTTAACTGGATAACTGGAATGCGTTGTCTTAGTAACTGGTAGACTGTCAACTCAAGCTCTCCTCTCAATGTAAGTGGAATTCTATATACATATATCTAAGAAACAAGAAGTTACTGTTAACTGTTACTGCCAGCACAGTCTCTTCTCGGTCTAAATGGATAGCAGGAACATCTATCAGTAAACTCCTTTTATACACGGAATAAGGCAATGTTTTGGGTTCTATATTAAAATATTTAATTCTATCTAATTTCTTGTACTGTACATAGAGGAACGAGAAGTCTTCCTCGTGTGTGTGTGTGTGTGTGTCCTCGCCTCTCATACTTATGTAAAGACAGACCCACGCTGATTCGGGTTGAATGTTATTAATACCAGGTTTGGATCGAATGTAAACAACAGTTGATGTAAACAGGTTATATAATCAGGTTCTGTAAACAGGTGATGTAAACATCTGATGATGTAAATAACAGTTGATGTAAACAACGGATGATACGCACAAAAGTTGATGTAAACAGCAGATGATATAAACAACAGGCGATGTAAACAAATGAAATAAACAGATGTAAAACAAAAGTTGAAATATTTTTTAAATTGATGACAAAATCCCTCTATATCTCTATTGTTTATATTGGTAACTTATTAACTATCTCTTATTTTACTATACACTGTCAGGGTGCGGTGGAGGACACGGAGTGTTGACTGGTTGTTGCTTCTATTAATACACTGGTTCGATCCCCTCCCCCCCTCCTTCCCTTCCTCTTTGTCTTGGCATTATCCACAATTTGATCTCTTCCACTCCTCCTTTTTTCTCTTCCTATTCCTCCTCCTTTTCCTTTTTATAATCTTTTTCCTCCCCTCTTTTTCTTCGTTACAATACATTTGTATGTTTAACATGTTACGACATCTGACTTGTATTCCGACGCTATTACGGCGTCACATTGACACGACCTTACAAAACAACTGACAGGAAACGACAGAACACATTTACAGAGACTTTCACCTCCTGACACTTGCTCTTTAACTCTCATTACAATAAATCTTTAGTTTTTAACTTGACAGAATTTGTGGAGTTTGATGAACTCTTCCAAGGGAACATTGCTGAAACTCTAGGAACTGATGATGCTTATATTAATCAGCTACTGAGACTAACGTGAGTTATAATAAATAAATATACAAATAATACTAATTCTAAGGTTAAAGTTTTATACTAAATATAATTTTAAATTAATTAAGTTGTATATTTCCAAATCAAATATTTATTAAAGTATAATATTCTACGTTTGTTTCATAGTAAGCTTGCAGATTATATTAATACATAAATATACTGTATAGTTAATGGTGTATGAAGTATACGTTATGAGGAGTATGCAGCTCGTATATGTAGCATCAGTGTGAATTGGCGTGCTGCAGCGTATTGAGTCAACATTACACGTGTGTCTGGTAACTGGTAGGCTGTCAGCTCAAACTCCTCTCAGTCTAAAATTGCAGACTCATATATATCTAAGAAACAAAAAGTAACTGTTAACTGTTGCCACCGCCCGTCAATCTGGTCTAAATGGATATGGGGCATAATATTAAACTCCTTTTATACACGGAATAAGGCAAATGTTTTGGTTCTATATTGGAAGTGTTTAACTCTATCAATTTTCTTGTACTGTTGCAAAAGAACAGAAAGTCTTCTCGTGACCTTATTATTATTGTGTGTCCTCCGCCTCTCATATGCAAACAGACCCGCGTTCGGGTTGGTGATTCTTATATAATACCAGGTTTGGATCGAATGTAAACAACAGACCCAGTGTAAACAGGGTTTATATAATCAAGGTTCTGTAAATGGTGCGATGTACATCTGGTGTAAATAACGGTTCAGTGTGGCAACGGATGATACGCACGAGTTGGTGTAGATAATCGCAGCAACGACGATGTAAACAAATGATATAAACTTATTAACTTCTCCTTATTTTACTACTTGCTATTCAGGGTGCGATGGAGACTGGAGTGTTGACTGGTTATTGCTTCTATTCGCTTCACTGGTTCGATCCTCCTTCCTTCCTCTTTGTCTTGGCATTATCCACAATTTTGATCTCTTCGCTCTCTTTTCCTTCCTATATCTCCTTTTATAATCTTTTCCTCCTCTTTTTCTTCGTTACAATACGACACAACATCATTTCCAGCATGTTTGCGACACATCTGCAACGACACGACATGTTCCGACATATTTACGACACGCCATTGACCGGCTTCGACCACAAAACAACAGAGCGACAGAGCCCAGGGCTGCCACTCTGGCCACTTGCTCTTTATGTTTTAATGATGTCTTCTTTTAAACAATTTGGGTTTTAGATGAACTGCTTCTGAGACATTTGTTTATATTTGGTAACACTAGGCTCAGGAACTGATGTAGTGTAACACTAGAGATAACTTGTGGTAGAGTTATAAACTAAATAAATATATCAATATTTATTCTAGGTTCATTTATCATCCTATTTTCAAAGTCAATTGGATTATATATTTCAAATAAAATCATTTTGTTGAATATGTATTGATCTACGTTTTGTTTTACGCATAGTGATGTACTGTCACATGTAAACACTAGTTATATTAATACACATTAATATACTGTATAGTTAATGGTGTATGAGGAGTATGGTGTATAGAGGAGTATGTAGCTCGTGTGTGTATAACATAGTGTAGTTGGCGTCCTGCAGCGTGAGGTCAGACATTACACGTGTCGTCCTAGTAACTGGTAGACTGTCAACTCAAGCTCTCCTCTCAGTCTAAGTGGAACTCTATATATATCTAAGAAACAAGAAGTAACTGTTAACTGTTACTGCCAGCTCAGTCTCTTCTCGGTCTAAATGGATAGCAGGAACATCTATCAGTAAACTCCTTTTATACACGGAATAAGGCAATGTTTTGGGTTCTATATTGAAGTGTTTAACTCTATCTAGTTTCTTGTACTGTACATAGAGGAACGAGAAGTCTTCCTCGTGTGTGTGTGTGTGTGTGTGCCCTCGCCTCTCATACTTATGTAAAGACAGACCCACGCTGATTCGGGTTGAATGTTATTAATACCAGGTTTGGATCGAATGTAAACAACAGTTGATGTAAACAACAAGTGATGTAAATAGCAGTTGATGTAAACAACGGATGATATTAACAAAAGCTGATGTAAACAGCAGATGATATAAACAACAGGTGATGTAAACAAATGATATAAACTTATTAACTATCTCTTATTTTACTATGCACTGTCAGGGTGCGGTGGAGGACACGGAGTGTTGACTGGTTGTTGCTTCTATTAATACACTGGTTCGATCCCCTCCTTCCCTTCCTCTTTGTCTTGGCATTATCCACAATTTGATCTCTTCCACTCCTCCTTTTATCTCTTCCTATTCCTCCTCCTTATCCTTTTTATAATCTTTTTCCTCCCCTCTTTTTCTTCGTTACAATACACGACACAACATGTTCCAACATGTTACGACACGTCACGACGACACGACATGTTCCGACATGTTACGACACGTCACGACGACACGACACGACACGAAACGACACGACACGACAGGAAACGACAGAACACGACACAGAGACTTTCACACTCTGACCACTTGCTCTTTAACTCTCATTTACAATAAATCTTTACTTTTAACTTGACAAATTTGTGGGTTTAGATGAACTGCTTCCAGGAACTGATGTTTATGTTGGTAACACTGAAACTCTAGGAACTGATGTTTATGTTGGTAACACTGAGACTAACTTATGGTAGAGTTATAATATATAAATAAATATTACTAATTCTAAGGTTAAGTTTTATACTAATATAATTTTAAATTAATTAGGATTATATATTTCCAAATCCGATATTTTTAGTAGGTATAATAAGTCTACCGTTTGTTACATAGTGATGTACTGTCACATGTAAACACTAGTTATATTAATACACATTAATATACTGTATAGTTAATGGTGTATGAGGAGTATGGTGTATAGAGGAGTATGTAGCTCGTGTGTGTGTAACATAGTGTAGTTGGCGTGCTGCAGCGTGAGGTCAGACATAACACGTGTCGTCCTAGTAACTGGTAGACTGTCAACTCAAGCTCTCCTCTCAGTCTAAGTGGAACTCTATATATATCTAAGAAACAAGAAGTAACTGTTAACTGTTACTGCCAGCTCAGTCTCTTCTCGGTCTAAATGGATAGCAGGAACATCTATCAGTAAACTCCTTTTATACACGGAATAAGGCAATGTTTTGGGTTCTATATTGAAGTGTTTAACTCTATCTAGTTTCTTGTACTGTACATAGAGGAACGAGAAGTCTTCCTCGTGTGTGTGTGTGTGTGTGTGTGTCCTCGCCTCTCATACTTATGTAAAGACAGACCCACGCTGATTCGGGTTGAATGTTATTAATACCAGGTTTGGATCGAATGTAAACAACAGTTGATGTAAACAGGTTATATAATCAGGTTCTGTAAACAGGTGATGTAAACATCTGATGATGTAAATAACAGTTGATGTAAACAACGGATGATACGCACAAAAGTTGATGTAAACAGCAGATGATATAAACAACAGGCGATGTAAACAAATGATATAAACTTATTAACTATCTCTTATTTTACTATGCACTGTCAGGGTGCGGTGGAGGACACGGAGTGTTGACTGGTTGTTGCTTCTATTAATACACTGGTTCGATCCCCTCCTTCCCTTCCTCTTTGTCTTGGCATTATCCACAATTTGATCTCTTCCACTCCTCCTTTTTTCTCTTCCTATCCTCCTCCTTATCCTTTTTATAATCTTTTTTCCTCCCCCTTTCTTCGTTACAATATATCGACACAACATGTTCCAACATAAAGTTACGACACGTCACGACGATACGACATAACCTGACATGTTACGACACGTCACGACGACACGACACGACACGAAACGACACGACACGACAGGAAACGATAGAACACGACACAGAGATTCTTTCACACTCTGACCACTTGCTCTTAACTCTATCATTTACACAAATCTTTAGTTTAACTTGACAAATTTGTGGGTTTAGATGAACTGCTTCCAGGAACTGGATGTTTATGTTGGTAACACTGAAAACTCTAGAACTGATGCTTATGTTAGTAACACTGAGACTAACTTGTGGTAGAGTTATAATAAAATAAATACAAATAATACTAATTCTATGTTAAGTTTTATACTAATATAATTTTAAAATTAATTAGGATTATATATTTCCAAATCCGATATTTTTAGTAGGTATAATAAGTCTACCGTTTGTTACATAGTGATGTACTGTCACATGTAAACACTAGTTATATTAATACACATTAATATACTGTATAGTTAATGGTGTATGAGGAGTATGGTGTATAGAGGAGTATGTAGCTCGTGTGTGTATAACATAGTGTAGTTGGCGTCCTGCAGCGTGAGGCCAGACATTTCACGTGTCGTCCTAGTAACTGGTAGACTGTCAACTCAAGCTCTCCTCTCAGTCTAAGTGGAACTCTATATATATCTAAGAAACAAGAAGTAACTGTTAACTGTTACTGCCAGCTCAGTCTCTTCTCGGTCTAAATGGATAGCAGGAACATCTATCAGTAAACTCCTTTTATACACGGAATAAGGCAATGTTTTGGGTTCTATATTGAAGTGTGTAACTCTATCTAGTTTCTTGTACTGTACATAGAGGAACGAGAAGTCTTCCTCGTGTGTGTGTGTGTGTGTGTGCCCTCGCCTCTCATACTTATGTAAAGACAGACCCACGCTGATTCGGGTTGAATGTTATTAATACCAGGTTTGGATCGAATGTAAACAACAGTTGATGTAAACAACAAGTGATGTAAATAGCAGTTGATGTAAACAACGGATGATATTAACAAAAGCTGATGTAAACAGCAGATGATATAAACAACAGGTGATGTAAACAAATGATATAAACTTATTAACTATCTCTTATTTTACTATGCACTGTCAGGGTGCGGTGGAGGACACGGAGTGTTGACTGGTTGTTGCTTCTATTAATACACTGGTTCGATCCCCTTGTTGCTTCTATTAATACACTGGTTCGATCCCCTCCTTCCCTTCCTCTTTGTCTTGGCATTATCCACAATTTGATCTCTTCCACTCCTCCTTTTATCTCTTCCTATTCCTCCTCCTTATCCTTTTTATAATCTTTTTCCTCCCCTCTTTTTCTTCGTTACAATACACGACACAACATGTTCCAACATGTTACGACACGTCACGACGACACGACATGTTCCGACATGTTACGACACGTCACGACGACACGACACGACACGAAACGACACGACACGACAGGAAATGACAGAACACGACACAGAGACTTTCACACTCTGACCACTTGCTCTTTAACTCTCATTTACAATAAATCTTTACTTTTAACTTGACAAATTTGTGGGTTTAGATGAACTGCTTCCAGGAACTGATGTTTATGTTGGTAACACTGAAACTCTAGGAACTGATGTTTATGTTGGTAACACTGAGACTAACTTATGGTAGAGTTAAAATATATAAATATATATTACTAATTCTAAGGTTAAGTTTTATACTAATATAATTTTAAATTAATTAGGATTATATATTTCCAAATCCGATATTTTTAGTAGGTATAATAAGTCTACCGTTTGTTACATAGTGATGTACTGTCACATGTAAACACTAGTTATATTAATACACATTAATATACTGTATAGTTAATGGTGTATGAGGAGTATGGTGTATAGAGGAGTATGTAGCTCGTGTGTGTGTAACACTCTAAATCTATGATTAATCTGCAAGTAGAATTAGACATAACACGTGTCGTCTAGTAACTAGTAGACTGTCATAGCTCGGCTCTCTCCTCTCAGTCTAAGTGGAACTCTATATATATCTACTGAAGCAAAAATAACTTTGTTGACTGCACTGTTCACCACGCAGCTCGATCTCTTCTCTAATTCTCACAAATGGATGGCAAGACATCTGTCAGTAAATATTTTATGCACAGGAATAAAGGCAATGTTTGGGTTCTGCTCATCCAGAGTGTTGGCTCATCTGGTTTTGTGTACTGTACATAGGGCAAGGAAGTGTTACTCGTGTGTGTGTGTGTGTGCTCACTTTCTATTTTATGTAAAGAACAGGAGCCCGCTGATTCGGGTTGAATATTTGTTAATACTATGGAATTTGGATCGAATGCGCAAGCAACAGTTGATGTAAGCAGGTTATATAATCAGGTTCTGTAAACCAGGGTATAAAACATCTGGTGGGTACTAAACTGTGGTTGATGTAACAGCAGATGTTGCGCAAAAGTTGATGTAAAACGGCAGATGGCGTCCATGAAAACAACGGGCAGTGCTAAACAATGATATAAACTTAATAACTATCTCTTATTTTGCTATTACTGTCCAGAATTTACTGGTGGAGGACTTTGGTGTTGGCTGGTTGTTGCTTCTATTCAATACATGAGGTTTCAAGTCCTCTTCCTTCCTCTTTGTCTT